TTTATTATTGCTAAAGTTTGTTTTTGCTTTTATGCAGAAATTTTCCATTTTTATGCAGTTGAATTTATCAACTATTTCTTTTATGGCTTCTAAACCTTGTATCTTGCTTAGAAAGATTTAACCCCTGCTTGCCTGGATCCTGATCTCCTCTCCTTGTAAGGACACTAGTCATAATTACCTTTTTGAAGACCCTATCTGCATATACAGTCACATTCAGAGATACTAGGGGTTAGAGCTTCAAACCTGAATTTTGGGGAACACAATTCAGTTTATAGCTTCACCCAGAATTTTTTAAAAATTCTCCCATGTTTTCTTTCAGTGCTTTTATGGTTTAATTTTTAAATGTTAAAATGTGATTCAGAAATGAAGCTGGGCGCGGTGGCTCATGCCTGTAATTCCAGCACTTTGGGAAGCTGAGGCAGGTGGATCACGAGGTCAGGAGATCGAGACCATCCTGGCCAACATGGTGAAGCCCCGTATCTACTAAAATACAAAAAATTACCCAAGCATGGTGGTGTGTGCATGTAGTCCCATGCCACTGTGCCCCAATCTGGCGACAGAGTGAGATTCCATCAAAAATAAAAATGAGATAGGGATCCAATTTTATTTATTTATTTTTGGTAATAAGGTAAATGATTTAACACTATTTATTAGTAATCTTTTCCCTCAGATCGTAAAATTCTACCTTTGTTTTATACTCCAGCTCCATGTATATTTGGGCCTATTTCTGTATACTATTTTATACCCTTAATGTATCTATTCCTGTGGCACTACCAAGCTTTTAATTATGATACACACACACACACACACACACACACACATATATATATATTTTTTTTTGAGACAGAGTTTCACTCTTGTTATCCAGGCTGGAGTGCAATGGCGTGATCTCGGCTCACGGCAACCTCTGCCTCCTGGGTTCAGGCAATTCTCCTGCCTCAGCCTCCTGAGTAGCTGGGATTACAGGCACACACCACCATGCCCAGCTAATTTTTTGTATTTTTAGTAGAGATGGGGTTTCACCATGTTGACCAGGATGGTCTCGATCTCTTGACCTCGTGATCCACCTGCCTTGGCCTCCCAAAGTGCTGGGATTATAGGCGTGAGCCACTGCGCCCGGCGATACTTATATACTTTAATCTTTCAGGGTAAATGTTCCTCTGTTATTTTTCTTTCTCAGAATTTTCATCACTATTTTTGCACATTTACTTTTCCCAATTTACTTTAGCTTTGCCTTGTGTAATCTTAAAATATTCTGATAGCATTTTTATTGGGATAGGGTTAAAGATAAAGACGAATTTAGGAAGATTCTCCATGTTTATATTGTTGAAATACTTACTTAGCTTTGTATATCCTTTGTACTGATGAAATTTTTAACCATGTACAGGTATTATTTTTATAACAAGGAAAAATTTAATTTCATTCTTAAAAAAATAAACAATAAAAGAACACAGCAGAGGTAAACAATGATTAGCAGAGATAAATTTATCTGGAGGAGCCATTTTGGAGTTCCTTAAATTCTAAACCCCACAATTATAACTTCTCTGTTTACAGATGTCTTACTTTCTCACGGTTAGAATAAAATAGATTGGGCAACTTATTTTGACAGTGTGCATGGTGTACTAACGAGAAATGTTAGCTCTCCCCTCTGCTCTTTCTCATTTCTGCCAGTTCAGGAGATACACTACTCTCTCAAAGGTTGTCTAGGCTGAGAGGCAGACTGCAAACTTGGCAGGTTTCCCTAACATTCCCCAGCCAAGGCAGTTATTATCTGGCTAAACCGAAGAGGGTCAGGTTTCTGGTGACAATGAAGCTGCTTCAGGTCCTCCTCCCATCTCACTAGCAGCCAGCTGCTTTTCTCTCCTGAGCTCTGGTGTCTTCCCTGCCCCTCCTGCAGAGCTGCAAGCCTAAGGAGAGAACTGCAGCAAGCAACGCTGGCACCTTAAATGGTCTTTCTGTCTGTAAGATGGTGAGGAAGCAACCCTGGGTTATACTTCTCTTTAGGAGGTCATTGCTAATGTTTCTTTGTTCCCAGATTAAGTAAGGTCCTATGAGTCCATTTTCTCTTCCTTTCTTTCTTTTTCTTTCTCTCTCTCTTTCTTTCTTGCTCTCTTTCCCTCTTTCTTTCTCTTTCGCTCTTTTCCTCTTTCTTTCTTTTCTTCCCTTCTTCCCCTCTTTCTCTCTCTCTTTCTTTCTTTTTGAGAAGGATTCTTGCTCTGTAGCCCAGGCTGTAGTGCAGTGGCATGATCTCAGTTCACTACAACCTCCACCTCCCTGGTTCAAGCAAGTCTCCTGCCTCAGCCTCCCGAGTAGCTGGGATTGCAGGCACGTGCCCAGCTTTTTTTCTTTTTCTATCTTTCTTTCTTTCTTTTTTTTGAGATGGAGTTTCCCTCTTGTTGCTGAGGCTGGAGTGCAATGGTGGGATCTTGGCTCACTGCAACCTCTGCCTCTGGGGTTCAAGCAATTCCCCTGCCTCAGCCTACTGAGTAGCTGGGATTACAAGTGCACGTGAACTCCCGACCTCAGGTGATCTACCTACCTTGGCCTCCCAAAGTGCTAGGATTACAGGCATGAGCCACCGAGCCTGGCCCTCTATTTTCTTTCTTGTCTCCATTTTCTGTTTTGTTTTTTTTTTAGACAGAGTCTCGCTGTCACCCAGGCTGGAGTGTAATCGTGTGATCTTGGCTCGCTGCAACCTCTATCTCCCAGGTTCAAGCAATTCTCCTACCTCAGCCTCCCGAGTAGCTGAGATTACAGGCACCCACCACCATGCCCAGCTAATTTTTTGTATTTTTAGTAGAGATGGGATTTTATCATGTTGGCCAGGCTGGTCTTGAACTCCTGACCTCAGGTGATTCACCCACCTTGGGCTTCCAAAGTGCTGCAATTAAAGATGTGACCCACCATGCCTGGCCTCTTGTCTCCATTTTCTTCCATTCACTCCTTTGCTTGTTCACCCATTCTTTCACATTTAGCACATGAGAGTGATCCCACTGAGATGTAAGCCAGAACCATGGCCTCTGCTCACAGCCCTGCACTGGCTTCTCACATCGCTCAGAGGAAAAACCAAAGGCATTACAATGGCCAACTTAGGCTTTACATGATCCGTCCTCCATCCTTACTATCTGTGACCTCATCTCCAGCTTCTCCCCTGTCACTGACTCACTCCAGCCACACTGGCCTCCTGCTGTCTCCTCCATGCCTGATGCTCTTACCTCAGCTGAACTCATATTCTCACCTCCTTAAGTTCTTGATACAAATATCACCATCACAGTGGTTAGGAAGAAAGTATAAATAGATAGGAGAAGGGGCTCTAGGTGATATGGTTTGACTCTGTGTTTCCACTCAAATCTTTAATCTCAAATTGTAATCCCCATGTGTGGAGGAAAGGACCTGGTGGGAGGTGATTGGCTTGTGGGGATACCGCTTTGTGATACTGAGGGAGTTCTTAAGAGATCTGATGCTTTTAGGAATGGCAGTTTTCCCTGTGGGCTCTCTCTTTCCTGCCGCCGTGTGAAGAAGGTTTTTGCCTCCCTTTGCCTTCCACCATGATTGGAAGTTTCCGGAGGCCTCCCCAGCCATGCAGAACTGTGGGTCAATTAAACCTCTTTTGTTTATAGATTACCCAGTCTCGGGCTAAAAACGGACTAATACACTAGGACTGAGCTGTGTGTGATTTAGTTACTTCGTCTATCACACCTAGTTTGGGTAGAAGACAAGGGCCCTCCAAAAGAGGACAAAAGGAACTATCAGAGACCTAAGAGTGAAGCGGGGAGGCTGTGGTGTCATTGAAGCTGAGAAAGGAGTTTGAAGAAAAAGAGAGCTCCCAGCTATGGCAAATGCTGCTGAGAAGTCCACTTGTAGAAATGAGTGCAGATTCATAGGTTCAAGCAACAAGCAAGCCATATATTGTTAAGAAACATGAAAAAATCCATTTTTAGGTGGAGGGATAGGAACAGAAGCGAGGTAGTGTAACTGAGTATTCCCATTTTTTCTAAGAGATATTTTAATTATTTTTTCTCTCTCTTCTTTCTCATTCCCTTGGTTTCTCACCTCCTACTTAGCCCTTTAGAAATGCAAATATAGCCTTTTACTTCCCCTTCACCAGACACTCCCTACGGGGCAAGTTCATCTAACTGTGCTTCCAGACAGAACTCTCCTTGTGGGTTAACAGTCCATTTACAGACCAAAGTGTGCCCCCGATGGAACTCTCACCCTCCAGGAGACTGCCTAGAGCGAGAACAGTCAAAAAGCATGCCCATTACTCTCTCCCATTTGGAGAGTTTTCAGCCTAGTAAGATGCCAGCAGTCACCAGCACAGCTGCCCAGTAGATAAGGCATCAAGCTAGCACATGGCCCCCTACCTTGCTTGCTTCCTCCCCTGCCTTTTAAAAGTGCCTGCTTCCTGCTCCAAAAGAGAAGTGTTTGTTTAAAGGTAGGATGCCTGTGCCTCTTCTCCTAAGCTAGCTTTGGAAATAAATCACTTTCTTTGTACCAGACCTCACTCTTGTTAATTGAACTCTGTAAGCAGAGTGACTTGCAGACTGACCCCCCTCAGGAGAAAGGGGGAATGGAAGGCGAAGGAGTAGTATGTGAAGACTTAACTCTAACAAGAAGGTTAGCTCTGAAAACATCAGAGACAAGGAAGGCTCATGGAGTCAAAGAGGACAGCAGCAGGGAAATAGTTGTAGATGGAGTGAAATTAAAGACACGGGCTGGACGCGGTGGCTCATGCCTGAAATTCTAGCACTTTGGGAGGCCGAGGTGGGTGGATCACCTGAGGTCAGGAGTTCAAGACCAGCCTGGCCATCAGGGTGAAACACCATCTTAAAAAAATAGAAAAGAAATTAAAGACAGGAGCCGGGCGCGGTGGCTCACGCCTGTAATCCCAGCACTTTGGGAGGCCAAGACAGGTGGATCACGAGGTCAAGAGTTCGAGACCATCCTGGTCAACATGGTGAAACCCTGTCTCTACTAAAAATACAAAAAATTAGCTGGGCATGGTAGTGTGTGCCTGTAATCCCAGCTACTCAGGAGGCTGAGGCAGGAGAATTGCCTGAACCCAGGAGGCGGAGGTTGCGGTGAGCCAAGATCACGCCATTGCACTCCAGCCTGGGTAACAAGAGCGAAACTCCATCTCAAAAAAAAAAAAAAGACACAAGAAAGGGAAGGGATAATCAAGGAAGGCAAGTCCTTGAGGAGGTGAGAGGAGATGATGTCAGGGACATGGGTGGATGCAGAAAGAGAAAGATTCATCTCAAAGTCAATGAAGCCAAAGCCTTGGGGCTCCTCACTTGCATGGGCCTAACTTTCAACCCCCCGAGTTACGTAGGTTTTAGGCTTCCACAAAATACGGTTCTGTCCCTGTGTAGAGGGACTGACCTTGACAGAAAGAGAGATGCCTCAGTGCTTCTCAGAACTTGAGCGCTGACAGTAAAGTAAAGCAACCCCCAAAAGTGTAACTGACAGAGAAATATAACAGAGGAATCCTGGGCATTGGTGTCCCTCGGTTTGAGAACCACTGATCTGCTTGAGACATTCACACACCTGATTGGGAACAATGAGATCTGAGGTCTATGTCTGGCTTTACCTGTACCATGTAAGGGACTGCTTCCTGGGCAAGCAGCCTATACAGGGCCAGAGTTCCCATGCTTGGTTTAGTGCTTTGCCGTCACTGTCTTGAAATTCCTTGTAGTAATTGAACAAAGAGTCCCACAATTTCCTTTCGTGAATGAAAATTCTATAAACGAGCCCTATAAATTCTGTAATTTGCCCTGGTCAAACATTGATTTAGTAGCCTTATTTTGTGACCTTGGGCAAGATATTTGACTTAAAAAAAAAAAATTGAGCTGCCCGGGTACAGAGGCTCACATCTATAATCCCAGCACTCTGGGAGGCCAATGCGAGTGGATTTTCTGAGGTCAGGAGTTCGAGACCAGCCTAGCCAACGTGGTGAAACCCCATCTCTATTAAAAATACAAAAACTTAGCCAAGCATGGTGGTGTGAGCCTATAATCCCAGCTACTTGGTAGGCTGAGGAAAAAGAATCGCTTGAATCCAGGAGGCAGAAGTTGCAGTGATCTGAGATCACACCATTTCACTCTAGCCTGAGCGACAGAGAAAGACTGTCTCAAAAAAAAAAAAAAAAAGCTATGTCTGGGTGTGGTGGCTCACCCCTGTAATCCCAGGACTTTGGAAGGCCAAGTCAGGAGGATCACTTGAGCCCAGGAGTTTGAGATCAGTTTGAGCAACAGAGGAGACCGCCTTTCTAATTTAGCCGAGCACAGCGACACATGCTTATGGTGCCAGCTACTTAGGAGACTGAGGTGGGAGGATAACTTGAGCCTGGGAGGTCAAGGCTGCAGTGAGCTGTAATTATGCCACTTCACTCTAATCTGGGCAACAGAGCAAGAGACCCTGTCTCAAAAAAAAAAAAAAAAAAATGGAGTGATAATTAACATACCCTAAATACTTGAGTTATTTGTGCCTCAGTTTCCTCATCTTCAAGAAGCCATAATAAATATCCCCTCCCAGGGAGGTAGTGTGACAATGAATGCAAGTTGTCAATGAAAGACAATGAAAGTTCTGTGAGCTTCTCTAATGACGTGTTTTTTTTTTTCCATGAGGCGAGTGCTCACATGTGTTGCATACCCCTGCTTATCATTCCTGGGCTTCTTGCAGCTGCTGATGAGGCTTTCTATTTTTAACCCACTCTGACATGCTTTTTTTCTTCCTTTTAACACCCAACAACCTTTGCCAAATGAGACCTAAATACATGGATCACATCATATTCTTTCCCAAGCTGTCTCTGCTCGCTGGGGTTTGAGTCTCTCAGTGATTCCCCTATACAGAAGGCAGACCTGACACAAATTCAAGACAGGAAAGGGCAAGGTAAGTGCTTTGGGTTCCTTTCCTTATTTTACGTTTTTGAGATGGAGTCTTGCTCTGTCACCCAGGCTGGAGTGCAGTAGCATAATCTCGGTTCACTGCAACCTTGCAACCTCTACCTCCCAGGTTCAAGCGATTCTCCTGACTCAGCCTCTCAAGTAGCTGGGGCTACAGGCAGGTACCACCATGCATGACTGATTTTTTGTATTTTTAGTAGAGATGGAGTTTCACTGTGTTAGCCAGGACGGTCTCGATCTCCTGACCTCGTGATCCGCCTGCTTTGGTCTCCCAAAGTGCTGGGATTATAGGTATGAGCCACTGCGCCCGGCCCCCTTCTTTTAATGGGAATGCTAAGAACTGACCTCAGCAGAGTTGGCAAGAAGAGGAAAAAAGAGAGGGAGGATTGCTTCTAACATTTGCAAGGCCCAAAGCACAGATGAAGAAAGAAACGCTAGACTTGATATTTAAAATTTATAAATTAAACAAGCAAATTGTTAAAATTTTATATCCTTCTACCTTGACAAATATGTTGTCATAATGTTGACCAGATTTAAATTTGAAGTTTGGAGATCCTTGGAGTTCTTGCAGGGACACAATTGTGTGAGATAAGCCAGACTCTGGTCCTCTCCACTTCTTTTCCCATCCTTGGCTCAAAAAGTGTTAGGGGATGATAGAGAAGTATCCACAGAAGGCCAGAAGACAGAGAAGATAAAGAACTTTCAAATTTTGTCAGGCACAGTGGCTCAATGCCTGTCACCCCAGCACTTTAGGAGGCTGAGGTGGAAGGATTGCTTGAATACAAGAGTTCAAGACCAGCCTGGACAACACAGTGAGATTCCACCCCCGCAACCATCTCTACAAAAGAAGTAAAAAAAAAAAAAAAAAAATACTTAGGCATGCTGGCATGTGCCTATAGTCCTAGCTACCCAGGAGGCTGAGGTAGGAGGATCATTGTGTGAGCCCAGGAGGTTGAGGCTGCAGTGAACGATGATTGCACCACCACACTCCTGCCTGGATGGCAGAAAGAGACCTGCCTGGATGACAGAGATAGATCAAAAACAAAGAAAAACATCTAGGCAAGGTGTCTCAGGCCTGTAATCCCAGCACTTTGGGAGGCCAAGGCAGGTGGATCACCTGAGGTCAGGAGTTTGAGACCAGCCTGGCCAACATGGCAAAACCCTGTCTCTACTAAAACACAAAAATTAGCCAAGCATGGTGGTATGTGCCTGTAATCCCAGCTGCTAGGGGGACTGAGACAGGAGGATCATTTGAACCTGGGAAGCAGAGGTGCAGTGAGCCAAGATTTTGCCGCTGCACTCCAACCTAGGCAACTCCATCTCAAAAAAGAAGAAAAGAAAAAAAAGAGGCAAAAGAAGCCAGGTATAGTGGTTCATGGCTGTAATCCCAGAACTTTGGGAGGTCAAGGTGGGAGGTTCACTTGAGCCCAGGAGTTCAAGATGAGCCTGGGCATCATCATGAGATCCCAGTCCTATTAAATCTTAAAAGTAAAGAACTTCCAAGTCTTATCTTTGAGTTGAGCTGAGCTTGTGAGGCATCCTAATTTTTATTACTGGTTTTATTATGGTTCGGCTGTTTGTCCTCTCCAAATCTTATTTGGAGATTCCCAATGTTGGGGGTGAGTCCTGGTGGAAGGTGATTGGATCATGGAGGTGGATCCTTCATTAATGGCTTAGCACCATCCCCTTGGCGGTGAGATTTGCTCAGTTAGTTCATGATAGATCTGGTTTAGTAGTCTAGGACTTCCCTGCTTTCTCTCTTGCTCTCACTCTGGCCATGGGACATGATGCTGGCACTATGCTTTATGTACAACCTGCAGAACTGTGAGCCAGTTAAACCTCTTTTCTTTATAAAGTACCCAGTCTTGGGTATTTCTTTTTATTATTATTTATTTGTTTTATTTCGAACTTTTAGACAGGGTCTTGCTCTGTTGCTCAGGTGGGAGTGCAGAGGTGCCATAACAGCTCACTGTAGCCTCGACCTCCCAGCTTCAAGTGATTCTCCTACCTCAGCCTCCGAAAGTACTGGGATTACCGGCATGAACCACCATGGTCGGCATCAAGTATTTATTTATTTTTTCTTTTTTTGTGTGTGTGACAAGATGTTGCTCTGTTGCCCAGGCTGGAGTGCAGTGGCACAATCTTGGCTCACTGAAACCTCTGTCTCCTGGGTTCAAGCGATTTTCCTGCTTCAGCCTCCCAAGTAGCTGGGATTCCAAGTGCCTGCCACCATGCCCAGCTAATTTTTTGTATTTTTAGTAGAGATGGTGTTTCACTATGTTGGCCAGGCTGGTCTCAAACTCCTGACCCGAGACGATCCACCTGCCTCAGCCTCCCAAAGTCCAGCCCCCCAGCTGGACATATTGTCTTAATGATATATTCACACGCAAATACTAGGTGTAAGCATTAACATAAATAAGATGGCAGATGCCAGGAAGTTGAAGAACTCTTCAAGGAGTTCATCAAGTTAATTGGGAGATAAAAATCTGTGAAAGGAAAATGAAAACTCGACACCCCAATTCACTTTGCAGAAAGAAAAAACTAAAACTGAAAGCGTAGTCATGCAAAAAGCAGCCTTTTTTTTTTGTTCCTAAGCAGACAGCTACAGATTAAAGGCTAAAGACCTCCACAGGCAGCTACTCTATGTTCACCTTATCTTATATGTACAGTGCCAATTTACCGAGCATCAGATGAACACATAATTGACTGTTCCCTGCTCCTTTTTTTTGCAACATATGGATCACCACATCCTCTTCTCTCCTCTTCATCCCATGTTTCCCTTTTAGATATTGAAGCCTTCAAAATCTTCTTTGGAGAAAGACACAGACCACAGACTGTTTCTGCAATTCCATGTTATGTTCTTTTGGGCATGTCCTTAATCTTGGCAAAATAAACTTCGAAATTGATTGAGACCTTTCTCAGACACTTGTTGGTTTACAAACCTAAATAGTATATTCAGAAAGTTAAAAAAATCATATATAAGCACTTTTGAAAATAGTTTGACAGTTTGGCAGTTCCTTAAAAAGTCACATGGAGTAACCATTTGATCCAGCAATTCCATTTCTAGGTATTTACTGAAGAGTAATGAAAACAGGCCAAGCGCAGTGGCTCGAGCCTGTAATCCCAACACTTTGGGAGGCTGAGGTGAGTGGATCACCTGTCAGGAGTTCAAGACCAGCCTGGCCAATGTATCGAAATCCCATCTCTACTAAAAAAATACAAAAATTAGCTGGACGTGGTGGCATGTGCCTGTAATCCCAGCTACTCGGGAGGCTGAGAGAAGAGAATCGCTTGGACCCTGGAGGCAGAGGTTGCAGTTAACCGAGATTGTGCCACTGTATTCCAGCCTGTGTGACAGAGCAAGATTGTCTCAAATAAATAAATAAATAGTAGTGAAAACATATGTCCACATGAAAACTTGCAAACAAGTGTTCACAGCAATCTGTTCACAATAGCCAAAAGGCAGAAATAAGCCAGGGCATGGATAAACAGAATGTGATATATCCAAAAAACAGAGTAGTACTCTGTAGGATATTATTCATGCAAAGGAACAAAATATTTTGGTATAATAAGAAATAGCTCAATAGTACAGTAGGGGGATTCTAGTTAATAATACTTTATGGTATATTTCAAAACAGCTAGGATGGTATTTGTAATGTTCCAACATAAAGAAAAGATTAATGGGTTGGGAGCAGTGGCTCATGCCTGTAATCCTAGCAATTTTGGAGGCTGAGGTGAGAAGATCACTTGAAGCCAGGAGTTTGAGACCAGCCTGGACAACATAGCAAGACCTCATCTATATAGATAATTTAAAAATTAGCTGGGTGTGGCAATGAATGCCTGTAATTCCAGCTACTCGAGAGGCTGAGGTGGGACGATTGCTTGACTTCAGAAGGTCAAGGCTGCAGTGAGCTGTGATCATGCCACTGCACTCCAGCCTGGGTGACATAGTGATACCCTGTCTCAAAAGAAAAGATGAATGTTTGAAGTAATGGCTAGCCCAATTACCCTGAGTTGATCATTACACATTGTATGCAGGTATGAAAATATCACAGATACCCCCAAACTGTGTATAACCCATATATATATATAATTTTTTAGGCTGGGCTCGGTGACTCATGCCTGTAATCCCAGCACTTTGGAAGGCCGAGACAGGCAGATCACCTGAGGTCAGAAGTTCGAGACCAGCCTGGCCACCATGGCTAAACTCCATCTCTATTAAAAATACAAAAATTAGCTGGGCGTGGTGGTGTGCCCCGGTAATCCTAGCTACTCAGGAGGCTGAGACAGGAGAATCGCTTGAACCTGGGCGGCGGAGGCTGTGGTGAGCTGAGATCTCACCACTACACTCCAGCCTGGGAAACACAGTGAGACTCCGTCTCAAAAAGAAAAAGAAAAAAAAAAACAACTATCTTTTTTAAAGGCAGGAGCAAAGAGTAGGACACATATAAGAAAGATTATCCCACTGGCTCTCCTCATAGAGCAATGTCTTATGAGAGGGCACTGTAGTGACAGACAGGAGAAATTATAGCTTCTAGTTCGCCAACAGTGACTTCCAAATAACGGTGGCTATTTTTAGGCTATTGCTTTTGTTTAGTGAAATACAGAAATCAAGTACCTCTATCTTAATCACATGCACATACTTTCCAATTCCCAGCAGTCACTTTCCTCTTAGTCTTACATCATTGGTTACAGGATATCATTTATTATTTTATATATATATAAAATAATATATATATACACACACACACACACATACATGAGATGGCTGGGCACAGTGGCTCACACCTGTAATCCTAACACAGTCCCAGATGTTCAAGATGAGTCTGGCCAACATGGTGAAACCTCATCTCTACAAAAATACAAAAACTAGCCAGGTGTGGTGGCATGAGCCTGTAGTCCCAGCTACTTGGGAGGCTGAGGCAGGAGGATTGCCTGAGTGTGGGAGGTCAAGGCTGTAGTGAGCCAAGACGGTGTTGGGGGTGGGGAGGAAGGGCGCGATCCCCTGGAACTGAGAAGAGTGAAACAGGCAAGGAGGAAAAACCATCATAAAGGCATCTTCTCAAATTGTTCACTGTGGGCAACTAGCAGGCTATCTCTCTGGGGCCTTCTGGGAAGCCATGTAGAATGACCTAGAATGATCCACTTGAGGTAAGGAAGGATTTGTTCCTGTCCCCTCTGGTCAAGGTTTGCCTCATGGATGTGCTTGCATGGGTAAGTAGTGGCCTTCAAGTTCTGGGACAGAACAAAAGAATTATGCTCAAGAAAAGTAGGTTGCTGGCTGGGCACAATGGCTCATGCCTGTAATTCCAGCACTTTGGGAGGCCAAGGTGGGTAGACCACCTGAGGTCAAGAGTTCGAGACCAGCCTGGCCAACATGGTGAAACACCATCTCTACTTAAAATACAAAAATTAGCTGAGAGTTGTGGTGGGTACCTGTAATCCCAGCTACTCAGGAGAATTGCTTGAACCTGGGAGGCAGAGGTTGCAGTGAGCCAAGATTGTGCCACTGCACTCAAACCTGAACTCTGTCTCAAAAAAAAAGAAAAAAAAAAAGGAGAAAAGTCAGTTGCCTCAACAGTGGCTGGAGTGAAAGGTTAATCTTTTTTTTTTTTTTCTTTTGAGATGCAGCCTCGCTCTGTTGCCCAGGCTGGCAGTGGCACTAGCTCGGCTCACCACAACCTCCGCCTCATGGGTTCAAGCAATTCTCCTGCCTCAACCTCCTAAGTAGCTAGGATTACAGGCACCAGTTACCACCCCCAGCTAATTTTCATATATATATATATATATAAATAGAAACAGGGTTTCACCATGTTGGTCAGGTTGGTCTCGAACTCCTGACCTCAGGTGATCCACCCACCTTGGCCTCCCAAAGCGCTGGGGAAAGGTAAATTTTAATAATTTTGATGATTTAAAAATGTTTAATAATTTAAGAAATATTATAGACAATGCTAAGAGATGAATGAAAAGAATTACTCTAGGGTAAGGAGGTAGGGCATCACAAATGAGGTGAAACTTAGATTTGCAGTATTAACATAGCTCTGTGTAATAGTTACCTGGTTTAATTCTCCCATTTACTTAAATATATGTTGCTTATGCATTGCTTACAATTTATGTAATTACCACTTTTCCTTCCATAACAAGGAAACTAAACGCATGTAAACATAAAGTAAATTAAGCCTAAGAAAGGACAGTCTCTTCAGCAAATGGTGCTAGGGAAACTGAATATTTACAAGAAAAGAAGGAAGTTGAACTCTTACCTCACCGAATTTACAAAAATTAACTAAAAATGGTCAAAGGCCTAAAACTGTAAATGTAAGAGCTACAACTCTTAGAAACTCTTAGAAGAGTTAGCATAACATTTTTATGACATTGGGTTTGGTAATGATTTCTTGCCTATGAAACCAAAAGCACAGGAAATAAAACAAAAAAATAGATAAATTGGACTTCATCAAAATTAAAAACTTTGTGCATCAAAGAATACCATCAAGAGAGTGAAAATGCAACCTATAGAATGGGGGAAAATATTTGCAAGCCATATACCTGATAAGAGAACAATGGAAATAATATGCAGAATATATAACTCTTGGCTGAGTGTGGTGGCTCATGCCTGTAATCCCAGCATTTTGGGAGGCTGAGACAGGCAGATCACAAGGTCAGGAGTTTGAGATCAGCCTAACCAACAAGGTGAAACCCTGTCTTTACTAAAAATACAAAAATTAGCCGGGCATGATGGCAGGTGCCTATAATCTCAGCTACTGGGAAGGCTGAGGCAGGAGAATCACTTCAACCCAGGAGTCGGAGATTGCAGTAAGCCGTGATCGTGCCACGGCACTCCAGCCTGGGTGACAGAGCAAGATGTCACCTCAAAAAAAAAAAAAAAAAAGAAAAAAAGAAAGAAAAGAAAAAGAACTACAACTTAACAGCAAAAAACAAAAACAAAAAACACATCCTCCCCAAAAAACTTAGAAAATATACAGATGGCCGAAAAGCAAGTGTGAGCTGCCACATCCAGCCCATCTTTGCTTTCAGAGCTAAGTCTTGGAGGGCTTTGAGGCGCTTTTCTTCAGAGATGCTGAATGGGGTTTCAAGGATTGTTTTTTGGGTTCTTCCTGTTTAGCACCTGCTACTGTGATTGTCCTCACAGCAGAGTCTCAACAAATGGTTTTTCCTTCCAGTTTATTTTGGTCGTGGCATGCAACCACCTTCACTTAGTTTGCAGCCCTGAGTGAACCCAAGTGCTTGCTCCACGCTTTTCTTCATTCTTCCCCATTCAGAATACCTTGCAGGACACAAGAAGTGCCTGCCCCCACAGACACCACACGTCAGCGCTGTGGCTTATGGCAGGCACGCCTGCACTTGGCACTATTTCCCCTGAGAACTTCCTGCCTGTTCTTTTTCTACTTTTTCATGGTTCTTCAAGGCTTTGTCTTTCTCTGGTTGCATACTTTGGGGGAAAATTTACATCTCTCTTTCCAAGACTTACAACTGGGCAGGATCTCAGATATACTACCGTTTTCAGAGAATTGTATACCCACAAGCAAGGTTGAGAAAGGCTCTCTTAAAAATGTCCCCTTGTCAAAATTTAATTGTGAAATCTGTCCTCATGAAGGATTTTTAAAAATTGTGATTAAAAAACACATAACATTTACCATCTTAACCATTTTTAAGCTGAGCTGAATAGTATTAGGCCGGGCACAGTGGCTCACACCTGTAATCCCAACACTTTGGGAGGCCGAGGCAGGTGGATCACCTGAGGTCAGGTGTTTGAGACCAGCCTGACCAACATGGTGAAACCCCGTCTCTACTAAAAATACAAAATTAGCCAGCATGGTGGTACGTGCCTGCAACCCCAGCTACTCGGGAGGCTGAGGCAGGAGAATCGCTTGAACCCAGGAGGTGGAGATTGCAG